TAGCTATCAAAACCTACAGTTCCTCTGAGAAATGAGAAATAAACACCATGCTGGAGATTTGTATATTATAACGGGTCATCAGGACCAGGAAAGGAGCTCATTCACCAGCAGGGGCCACCTGTTGCCACTGGTAACTATTATTTGTATTTTACGTGCTGCAGCAGCTGCCTGCTTGGCTCACCGCTGCTCGGTGGAAAGCAAAACACCAGTGTTTGTAGCAAAACCACAAGGAATTTTTTTCTTCCTGTCAGTATCTGGGTCAAACACACACTGAAGATGCTGCTGCCCTCTGAACTCTCCCTGCAGGTAGGGCTGGAGGGATGGCCATGCTGGGTCTGGGGAGATCCTGGGGGCTCAGCACCCTGCCCACAGGGCAGAGAGTGACCAAGGAGCAAACAGCCATCCTCTGTACATCAACACTGCAGCATCCACCAGGGTATTACTCCAGTGAAAGTTCTGCTTCCTGACAAGCACAAGCTGTACAAACACACACACAAAGCCTTGGTCATGCTCCCGTCAGCTTTATCAGCTCTCCTGCATGCCAGGAATTGTCCAAAATTGCTTGACTAAGGACTGGTTTCTGGCAGGATACGGCTTCCACGAGTCAAGTTCCTGGGTGCATGTGGAAAGCACTGAGCTCCATCTCCCATGTCTACAGCAACCCAAACACTTGGCTCTTTCCAATATAGTGCTCCAACTTTTTTGTGACAAAGTAAAACAGCTGAAGTGAAGCAAAGGGATGCTTTATCCATAGTTTAATTTTTCTGAGATCTCAGGGTTGTACAACAGACTAAGCCTAAACAAAGAAAGCTTTACAGTTCCCCTGCTGATTCCTTGTTGAATCATTCTCACACAACCCTGCCGTGACTTCAACCGCGCTCCCCAGAACACCAGCCACTGAGCCCCAAGTTCAGGAAAATGTCACTGCATCCTAAAGGCCCTCTACATTACAACTTTACACGTCTCAGACTGTTTCTTTTCAGAATCATGCCCAAGGAGCTTGACTCTACCCTTCGCTTTGCACAACACTGGTTTAAATTTTCTGGGCAGTATTTCTATTCAGAAGCTGTCACAGACATTGCAGAACTATCATATGATCCACAACCAGTTTCTGGGACCTGTTTTTTACATTCTTCACAGATTCAGGTATCTGAGCTGGTTGTATTTGCCTTATGTTTTTCAAGGTTGCCTTAGACCAAGGCTTGTTTTCAAAAGAATGAGAAAGAAAGAAAACCAAACCTCTGGAGAGGAACACTGATTTGTCAGTCTTGTGAACAAACCCCGGAGTCCTATTTATCCTTCCTGCAGCAGGTCACCTTTACCTTGAGGGACCACTGACCTACATAATGTTTATGTAAGACTAATTAGGATGAAATTAAGAAAATGTATTGCATTTAAAATGGATCACATTTAAAAATACTTCAGTGGCAAAGCCAACACACAGAAAGAATTACTTTGCAAATAGGTTACATTTGCTTTGTGCAGTAGCAAGAAGACCACAGCCCATATTTTCTAACAGAAAAATAAAATTCTCTTGTTTCGAGTAAATTAATGATAGACTGCCTGGATGCTTGCTTGCTTGTTTGTTTTAATAAAACAGAAGCACCTTATTAACCCTTATTGGATATAAGGGTCAAGAGGCTGCTCAAGACCTGTGAGAATAGCTGTCATTGCTCCTCTCTCATAGCTGGTAAGCTGACTGCAGACACCCAGTCTGACAAGATGTCAGACTTTTTGTTGGGGCATGGCTGCAAGCATTGTATCAGTTAAGTCTCTAACATCACTTCCTGGAAAAGACTTGTTAAGAGCTATAATATCATGCATGATGTCCTAACCACATCCTGCTGTTAGGATTTTACAATGAATACTGCTGTTGGAGACAAATGGACAAAATTCCTGTCAGGAATATGACCTGAAAGAACCTTGGCATGTCTGCATCAGACAACGTAGTCAGGTGCTAATGTCTGTATTTCATCAGACTGCTTGTTAAATTATCAACAGTGGTTATTTTCATACCGAGTATTTACATGAAAACTGACCAGTTATCTAAATGTGTTTTCAGATGTTGATGTTTCATCCTGTATCATAAAGAATTTCAATTTTATTAAAATTTTTATTTTTTTTCTTGCCAGCTAGGACAGTTGGGATTTACTAATGTCTTAAATAATTTTGCGGTCTTAGCTTCCTATATTATTAAAGCTGGACTACACCAGTCAAAAAGTCTCACTGCCTTCTTTGAAAGGTAGTCTAACAGAATGCTACAGCAAATTACTTCATTGCAGAACTGACTGCCAAGATCAAATTTAACCCAACGATAAGTAAAGCAAACAATTCAATCAGGCAAAAATAATAAAGTCAGGCAATATAATAGGTCTTCTGGTATGCTTTCTTTCTTCCCGTGCTCGTTTGATGTGTTTCCTCTAAGAAAATGTAATATTTATTTCTGAAAATACTGTTTTCACAGATAATTTGTTAAAATGTTTCTGCAGGTTGTTTACAAGTACAACATATTCTTTTATTAAGATGTCAAGGCGAATCCAACTATCACAATTCTAGGGTATCATTTGGTCCTTTACAAGTTCTTAAGTTTTATTTGTTTGATTGTTATAGGGGGGCTCCTAAGTTTCCCATTCTCCTAGCATTTCACATATGAAAGACACACAGCACACAGTAATATTTTGGACCTTCTTCGAAATGAGGTATGTGACTAATTCACCAATAAGGCATAAACTTCTGCAAGTGGTAAACTCTATCAGGGAGTGTAGCCATGGATCCAGGAACAACTGCTTTGAACAAATGGACGGGAGATTTAGATGAGATGTGACGTGAGGAAGAAATTCTTCACTCAGGGCACAAAGCGCACGTGGGAATTAGGGATGAAGATATACCTTGCTTCTGTTGTTTTCCATAAGGAATAGAATGAAATTACCTAAAAAACAGTGTTAAAAATAAACCCAGGGCACAGGCTGGGAGGTGCAGGGCAGTCCCTGTGGCCGAGGGGCAGCCTTTCTCTCTGGCAAGCCAAATAGCATTGGGGAGCCAGACCCATAAAAGGGGCCCTCAGCCCCCCAGCCCTCCTCCTGGTCCACAGGAGGGCATCTTCCAGGCTTCTCCCAACACAGCTGCCTTTGGCCACATGTGGGCCCCTCCATCACAGAGGCTTGCTGAGGCCACTGTGGCCACCACTGCCCCACCTTTGCTGCAGACCCGATAAAACAGGCCCCCTGCAGCCACCAAACACCACAGACATGCCGCAGGCTTGCCTGTAAGATGTCCCAGCAGTAAACAGCTCTTGCCAATTCTCAGGGATTGTATGAGTGCTTCTTACTTTTTTTTTTTGGGGGGGGGGTGGGGAGTGGGGGTGGGAAATGGGTTAAAGTTGTGCCAGGGGAGGTTTAGGTTGAATATTAGGAAGAACTTCTTTACCGAAAGGGTTGTTAGGCATTGGAATGGGCTGCCCAGGGAAGTGGTGGAGTCACCATCCCAGGAGGTCTTGAAAAGACGTTTAGATGTAGAGCTCAGTGATCTGGTTTAGTGGAGGACTTGTTAGTGTTAGGTCAGAGGTTGGACCAGGTGATCTTGGAGGTCTCTTCCAACCTAGGTGATACTGCGAAGTAAGCAACTGGTTGTTCATGTAACTTTTCAACCATGAGCAAACAGAACCCTAAGCCTAGAATAATCAAACTCGGACATACAAACCTACTCATCAGATAGGGAAAACACACATGCACACACACACACACACAAACAGTAATAACAAAGAAAGAAAACAAACAAAAAAAAACACACACAACTAATTTCAGTACTAGTATTGCCAGTTGAGTAGTGATCAAGCAGTTGAAACCTTCCATGTCTCTGTCTGGTCTCTACAGAAACATGGTCAGACAAACCACTGTAGAAGCAATTCAGAAGTACATGCACTAAACCCCCCAAAAATTGGAGACTGAACATTTCCTCTCATTTTGTTGAAAATGAAAATCCTCTCAGTACTACTGCACAGGAGAGCCTTGCGGCAGGGAAATTCTACTACAGAGCTCGGAATCACAAAAACTCATTAGGCAGCAATCCTTTAAAGCATACAGTATTATGTCTTGATCCCAGGTAACTCAAGAAAAATCATCCCTTGGAAATATAAAGACAGTGAAGAGGTAAGATACTGGCTCAGACTAGTTTGCAGAGACAGCAGACTCAGTGACCAAGGTTCCTAATCTGTACGTAGAAAAATAAAAACAGAGTTGGAATTTGAAGCCTTCCATCAGAGTATGAGTTTGGATTCAGTCATATGGTGCCCAGTGTGGTGGCTGCCCCTGAGCCCTCCATCTGACAAGCTAGTGCCACTAAGAGCCAGGAGTTTGACTTCCACTGTTACTTTCCACCCTACGTTTCAGTTTTGTGCTGCTTAAGACAGACTTCTGTACATCATTCCAATATTTCTGCAACCCTCAGCCACAAGTACCTGTTCCCAATTCATTATGCCACACTTCACTGGCATCCTAAATACCCAATTTATTCAACTTAACCATTTGGACACCGCCAAAACTTTCTGAAACAGCTGCATCAGGGACTTCCACATGCACACTAATTGCTGTTAACCCCATTGAGACTAGCTGCGTTAATGAGACTTCTCTTGCTCAAACGTATGCTCCAGCATCTGGCCACAAGAAAATCAATCATGTGCCTACCAAGTTCTCTAGTATAAAACAAAGACAGACTTCCAATGTCCAAATGAAACTGGTTTGTAAAAGAAATAGGCTACACGTTCATGCATTTGGTGCCAAGCCTATTCTATGTTCACCAGGTTTGTTATCTGTTACAAGGAACATACAAGGAACAGAGGAAACGGAGGTTTGGCTTTCCAACAAAGAAACATCCTTAGGGACTTAAAGAAAAAAAATCATTTCCTGTCTGCCAGTTAAACTGAGAACACAGAGTTGATCCTGAGAATTCTGCATCCTTTCTCAAAAAAAAAAAAAAAAAATAAAAGATGCTGCTATACTTACTCTTCCTTGAATTACATCTTTCTGTATTCAATTTCCATAGCTTCTGATTGTAGACAGCTCTGTTGAGATCACTGTAATTGAAAACAATACAAAAGGAAACATGGAATCACAGAATCACAGAATTTCTAGGTTGGAAGAGACCTCAAGATCATCGAGTCCAACCTCTGACCTAACGCGAACAGTCCCCACTAAAACCATATCCCTAAGCTCTACATCTAAACGTCTTTTAAAGACCTCCAGGGATGGTGACTCCACCACTTCCCTGGGCAGTCTGTTCCAGTGTCTAACAACCCTTTCAGTAAAGAAGTAAAAGAAGTAAAGAAGTAAAAAAGGAAGAATTACACGAAAGTGGTATTGTCAATTAAAAACACTTCAGCAGCTGTGAGTACCTCAGAGATGTTATCAAGCCTCCTAGAACCCCTTGACTTGGGTGCTTCAAGTCTGATTTTGTCTTAACTCTTTGTCTCTACCCGAGTTCCAGTACCTGACTTCCAGCACAAGATCTTTGTCTCTACCCAAGACAAAGAGTAATTATAGCAAAGATATGAGCTGAACATTTCCTATAGCCAGTGGATTCCATTGTGGTGTTCCTTCCTCTTTATTGTCAGCAGAATGGAGATTCAGCATCTGCAGAATTAAAACCCAAGACCAAAACCTTGACTCCAGATGGGACACTGACAAGACTGCTGTGATGTAAACAGGCACCAACTTGTGCTGCCTCTCCTCCCCCTATTGCCTGATTCCTTTGCATTTAGTGGCAGTAGGATTTCTGGAAGGGTTCCAATGCCTGCTTCAGTAGGAAAAAGTGTGTTTTCATCCCTGGCTTCAACAGAAGGGAGATGAGGCCCAAACTTTGATAGGCATCATAAATGTAGCTACGTAGAAACACAACAGCTGTGTAAAAAAAAATAAAATTATTTTATTTATTTTTTTTTTTTTGCTAAGCATATCCAGATTACTTGGGATGCATCACCTTTTCTGTGAATCATCATTCTGTGATTTTTGAATGGATGTTTGGTCCATACACAGGTAGTAGGGCCCTTTTAAGCTTTCTGCCTTACGAATCCCAATAGAGCCAAACTTCCTTCTGTTTTGTGTTTTTATTCATGACAGACATTCTTCCAGTTAAAGTGGAGGAATTAGATTTGGTTTTTAGACCAATCTGAATCAAGCAAAGCTGGGTTTGTGTAGGGTATCTTTGTTAATATTCTTTACACAAAATATACAAAAATCCATTTTATATTCCAAGTGATAAATGCAAGCCAGACACAGGCTGGTTGGGCAAACATTGGCAGAAAAATGGCAAAACACTGAGCAGAAGCTTACCTAAGCAGGCCACAGGAATTCATTTGGGACTGATTAAAAACCATGAAGACTGAAGTACAAGAATTAGTAAAAACCAATGAAAGCAGAAGCCAGTGGTCAGCAGCTGTCTGCCAAGAGGCGAACAGGCTCCCTGTGTATGCGCTGCCTGGAAAGGTAGGACCGGAGGTTTCGAGCAATGAAACAAATAGCAGGCTATCTGAGGGGATCCTGCAACTGCAGCCCCAATCTCACTTCTGTGGGTATGATAGTAGACCTGAGGTAACGGGCCGTACGTCCAAAATCAACAGTAACGACCCAGCAAACGCACTCACAACACAGTCCCATGTTTAAATCAGAATCAGTTCCACCATTCTTCAGCAATTACAGCTTTCCTAGTTAAAAACAACCAGTGCATTTGGCTGCCTGCTTATAATCACAGGTCACACTGCAGCATACATGTATGTGGAAGGGTATTCATAAACAACATGGAAAAGTAGCTCGTGAAGTCTGATGACAAACTTAAGATAGTAAAGAACAACAACAACAACAAAAAAAACCTTTCAAGACAGTGAAAAGAAAGGCTGATTACATAGAAGTGTGTGGGAGAAGCTATACGACTGAGTAACACAGCGTTAAAACGATGTATCACTGTAATATAAAGTGATGTGGAAAAACAACTCTAATTTCACAGAAACAATGATGAGGAACATTCCTAAACATTTTGATTCAGGAGTGAGATGTTAGGATTAGGCAGGATATAACATCGGCTCAATGCACAGTCAAAAAAAAACCAAAAACGAACAACAAAATATCATTATGCTGCTGTCTAGATCCATGCTTTGTCCAGAATTCGGATACTTTGTGTAGTTCTGGTTCTCTGCACCCACTCTTCAAGAAGATAGACTGATTCAGGAGAAAGTTCAAGGTGGGACATCAAGGATGGCCAGTGTTTTTGGAAGAGCCCATTCCTTTACACATGGAATGACTGCATAAACTGATACTTCCTCATCTAGAAAGAAGTCATCCAGGACAGCATCAGTTGTAAGTTTATAGACAAGTGGTAAGGAGACTGCATAGCAACCAGCTGCAGCCTGACTTCCAGCACAAGACCTGGAGGTTACAATAAGGCAGCAGGTTCAAGAACAAAGGGCTTTGTTTTGTTTCGATGCACTGTTTATTTAAACCATGCAATTCACGAACTCTGGATGTCATGGATGTGAACAGTTCACATTTGGTCAAGGGGAGGGCGCCCAAATTCGCGGAAGAAAAGTTCACTGAGCTACTCAGCACTCAGAAACAATATGGGTCTTTGCAGGTTCCTTGAGTTACAGATGCTGGTAGTTTTTTTTTGTTGTTGTTTGTTTGTTTTAAATCATCCTTCTTACATTTTTACAAAACAAGTGCTATGTGAGCACAAAACTGTGAAAAAAGAGCATCCATGATACACAATTAAAGTTATTCCTTTTTGGAGCATTTTAGTAGGCACTTCAAGTTCTACGCCCTTCAACAGGTTACAGCCCCAAAACATGCTTTAATTAATGCTATAAAAACTCTTGAACTCTTATTGTGGAAAATGATCCCAAAATAGGAAAGTGCACCTATTTCAAAGCATCATCTGGCAGGAGAATACTACTTACAAAATATATTTTTTGTAATGTATGAAGATACTAAACTGCTCCAGCAAGTCATATTTATATATTAAACTAAAATAATATTTGAATCTCCATTGGGGCTGGACTTCCTCTCCTTCCTTATAAGTTTTTTAAGCTGCTTATTGAACTGGCCCTACAACGGTCCCACACATTGCTTTACCAGTGTCCCCTTTTGATTCTCAGACTGGTAAGGAATCTCAGCCTATTTGAAAGTTTTCCACAGCTTCACATAAGATCACACATTGCAAAATGTGTGCAGGGGCAGCCTCCTCAGCACTTCTCTTGCCTGTTTGCCTCCGTATGCAGTCCCATGCATGATGAGAGCACCCATATTCAGTCTCATACCCACCAAAACCCTTGGCCTTTTCAGCAGCAAGGGCATTGTGCTCATATGGGTGTTACCTTAGATACTGAGCATGGCACCTCTCTTGTGGAACTGCATTAGCTTTCTATTGGCTCCTTCCCCAAAAGTTTCTCAAGACCACTACTGCCCCAGCCCCCAAATTTAGTGCAAACTGCATATTTGCTAAGGGTGTACTGTGCTTCATCTTCCAGGTTGCTGGAAGATAACGAATACCAGGTGCTTCACTCTCATCTAGGTGTGAGGTGGACATCTGGATTGTCATCACTACCCTTCAATCCTGGTAGTTCTGGTGATTTTCAGTCCACCTGGCGGCCTGTTTGTCAGGCACATACCTTTTCCCAGCTTCCAAACAAGAACACCATAGGAGATCCTGTCACAAGATCTTCTAAGCAAGTTTGTGTTCCTTGCTCTCCCCTCAACCACACAGTTATTTCATCACAGAAGGCAATCCAATGGACAAGCACAATTTGTGCTCAATAAATGTAATAACAGCCCTTCATTATCCTCTTGCTCTTAAAATCTTTTGAAATAGAACAAAAGAGGATGAGTCCATGGCTTTCCTAGGGACTGGGATGAAGCTGAGCAACCTGTAGCTACCCAGGTCACTGTTCTTTCCTTTCTTAAACATTGATGCAACCTTGGCTTTTTTTTTTTTCTTCCCAGTTGTAAACAATTTCTCCCAATCAACATTACTTTTCATAGACTGCAGACAGCTGCCTTGCAGTCACATCGGCCAACTCTTTCAGCACACTCAGAGATAGCACATTTGGCCCTGTGGGTTTGAAGTAACCAGATTCCATACCTTAACACTCAGGCTGTTGTTGCTCTGCTGCTGGCTGCCCCTCCTTCCCAAAAATGTGGCACACTGTGTTCACATGAACCCTGTTATTCTAATGGGGAGACAGTTTTTAAAGCCATCCAGCTCACATTCTGATAACATGGCTAACTCTCTGCTGCATGGAAAATAACAAGACAGTGATCAGAAAGTTATCAACAGAATCTGCAGGAAGTGTGCATTCATATATGCACTTTATGGATTCTGTATTTTCAGCCTCAACTGCAAAACTAGCTGCTCGTGAAGCAGTCACACTGCTGGTTTCTAGCACGTTCTCTGATCCACTTTCTGTTCTGCTCTCCATAGAGTAGACAGTCTATCATTTTAGTACGGCTTCAGTTTTTGCCTTAGTAACATCATATACCACTAGAAATGCACATTTCCTCAAGTGGGAGAGGACAGTATAGCCCACAGGGAGAAATCTGGCTCTGAGGGAACCTTCATGTGGATTTGACTGGATGTTTCATTTACACAAACTCTTTGCAGCTTTTCAAGAAACCCTCAAAGTGCAGGGATCTGTGGGGTGAAGTCCTGCATCTGTTTGGGTTGCGTATCTGCGTTGCCTTCCTGTTCCTGTTTTCCCTCTAGCGTGAAGGCGTCATGGTTCCTAGCACCAGCCCACACAAATCACACCCTGAATCACAGGATGAGAACACGGACCAGAGGTCAACACCAACAAAGACACATGCTGGCAGAACAGGGTTCCATGAGATGTCTGCTAGAAGCCTGTCACCCATTTGGCTTTGGGCTTCCCTGGAGATGTACATCTAGAAGTGTGTTTTGCAGCTGATGAGCAATTTTGATCAATGTTAACTAAGGTCATTTACATAGTGGAAAACACGTAACATTTTCTGTCTTCACAGAAGAAAATGCCTTTGCATTCCAACATCTGACTGTAGACCAGACAGCTAAAATATTAGTGCATTATTTACACATTGAAGTATATCTGCCCATTTATTGCAAAGTCCTTTGATAAATCTGTGTGCTTCATTAATAATAACTCAAGTAGACTTTGCGTTTGTCTTAGAAAATGAGCTATTCATATACACTGAGATTAATTTCTACATAATTACATACAGGGGACAGGTGCCAAGGACTTAGAAGAATATTGCTGTACATAAGCCAACAAAGATCAGGGGAAATTTGAGACAACTCCTGAGGGAATCTGATGATGCAAAAGATGCACCATTAATGAGCCACTTAACTGCAAGTACCTCAACATGAAAGACTGATGTCAAGGACTGCAGCAGACATTCATACGAATGCTCCACAGAGTAGGGAGTTCTGTGCCAATAAACTCACTTGTACTCTGCTTGTAAATCCAGCTCCAGCTTGTCCAACCACTCAACTGCTTCCAGTAACTCCAGGTTTGGCAGTATTTGGGAAAATTATTTTGGGTTCTTTTTCACTTCATGCAAAGAAGGGAGGTGGTGGTGGTGGATTTTCTACTGCCCAACTGAAACTGGAGTTGTATAGTCTTGAGAAGAGGAAAGGCACTCCAATCTCTGCCAGGTCCTAAAATAGTGCATCAAAAAGCTTAAGAAGTCTGGGCTGGCCAGTTTTATTTCCATTAGAGGACATGTGGTGGACATACTTCAGAGTAGTATTCTCTATTTATCAGAAAAATAAAGGATGAAAAATAACTAATGGTTTAAAAAAAAAAAAAAGACAAAAATGAAGCACAAAATATATGGCAAAAATGGAGCACAGTCTCACCTTTTCAGCTAGTCACCGTATATATTTATTTTATCTCCCTTCTCTCCTCTTGTTTAGATTTAATGGACGTTAGACCCTTACTGACCTCTGGTCCTACAGGCTGTGTCCGTGACTTGCAGCAGCCTGAAGACAAAAAGATTTGTGCTGGCACTAATGCTCACGTAAAACAGCTGGCATAAGGAAAAAAAGCTAGTTTAGTATAAAAATACAGCTGTTTGCGCAGTTGCTGCAATAAATGCTGAAGTAATTCAATTTACTTGTCTCAATGTCTTTTTTCCATGGAAAGTTTATGGTTTGTCATTAATTCTGCCTTTCACATCCAGTTTGCTCAAGAAATAGCACAATACACTTCTATGTTATTTCTTGCTTCCTCATTCCCTGAAGAGAGAGTTTGCAATGCCTTTATGCTTGATGGGGAAGACAACATTGACAGGGTTAAACATGAGGGTTTTGGTCGAGCTCTTTTCAACAGGAAGTGACTGAATATCTGCTTGCTTCTTATATAAAAAAGGAGAAAAAAAAAGAAAGGTTTTGATGGGCTCTCTTCTACCTTTGATTGATACTAAAGATCATGGAAGTCTTGGGAACTTACAGTTTTGTAATGCATAGAAACACATGTCAGATCCTGGCGGCTGTGCTGTAATCCAGAATTTGCTTAGCCAGCTTCCAGAGGACTTTTGCTGCCTGTAAAACACCTCCTCAGCTCAGTAGCTCAGCTACTTCACTCAGCTACTTCATTCTACCTTAGGCCACAAGATCAAAGCATCAGGAACAAATCGGATGATCTCTTTACGAGTTCAGGATAAACCTAGCTCACTGTAAAGCTGCATGAAGCAAGGAAGACCTGTCCACTTGTTTTCTACACCAAGCAAAGCTCAGGAGATGCAAGGATACTCTCTCATGTATGCACAGAGCAATATGGGCCTGAGATAAGCTGTAGGGCAGCACTGCAGCTTCCTACCAAATCTTGTGTCAGATTTCAGCATATAAACCGGACATCAATACTTGGGTGTTTGTGCTGCTGGACCTCTAATTTCCAGCCACAAGTGACATGATGAAACTCAGTAGGGAGGAACAAAACATCCTGAATCCATCTAATTCTGTGGGTCTAACTCAGGGTCAGCCATGAGTGGACAAGTCTTAAGTCAGTCCCAGTGACACAATTCACAGAATCACAGAATTTCTAGGTTGGAAGAGACCTCAAGATCATCGAGTCCAACCTTCCTACAGGTTGTTCATGTACTGCCATGGTTAAGGCAAGGTGGAAGAAGACTTACCACAGATTTGGGACCTGCTGTTCCAGAAGGAAAACAAGTTACAGGTGAGGCTGTCACTGGCAGGTGTGCCATACAGGACCTGGGCCATAAGGAAACTGGATAAAACTGAAAAGAAATGGGAGAAAAAAAAAAAAAAGTAAAAATCACTAGGTGACAAGAAGGCAGAGTGCAAATGACAGGTGCTAGAAGCTGCTTTTCTAAGCAGCCAGATCGTGGTCAGGATACCTGCTGCTGCCATCGTCTCTTGGCTCACACCATCACTGCAGTCACCTTCTGAAAACCAAACCCCAAACGACTCACTCAGAAACCAGAGACACACAAAGGCTGTGGCAGACGATACTTCTAGACCATCAAAGAGGATAATATACCTAGAGGCTAAGTCTAAAACCAGTAGAAAATACCTCATCTTTTTCAGTTATATGAGGCCTGCCAGAGACATTGCAGCTTTCTGTCATGATTGAGCCCTTCTATACACACATTCCTACTTATTTCTGCTATTAAAAGCTCTTTTATTATCATACTATCTTTCTGTCAGGGTTTTGTGAATTACATTTTAATTCAACAGCACTTGGTTGTATGAACAATTAATGAGGGATGTACGTTATACAAACCTCATATTTTACTGATGAAGTACTTTGGACAGACTGTATTAAGATTGAAGCACTTAATAATTATTAAGAGGCTAGTTACGGGTTTGATACATTTCCATGGTCTGCAAGAAATACTGCATCAGCCACACGTGTACACAACAGGACTGTAGCCCCCTTTGAAATGCGAAAGTCACCTCATTTGGCTATTTTACTGGGAAGGGTTGTTTTTTTTTCAGGTGTCATCTGCCCATAGTTATCGGTGAATGTTTGTCATACGTTTTCCAGGACAAAGCATTTCAGCAAAAGCTCTATTTCTGCAAGGCACCACTTTCATTCCATAGCTTTACAGGGGATTTTTCGGCACCTTGTACTTGTGGTTTCTGATAGGACACGAGGCCAAAATCCATGTGAATTCAATTACCTGGGGAAAAAAATACACTGTAGTTTCAGCAGTGTATTTGTTATTATGACATTGCTACAAGGGAAGGGAAATGAGGAATAAAACAGGCACCACTCAGCCACATCTCTAGAAGTGAATATTGACCAAGGTTCAATACATCACTGACAGCAAATCGAAGGTCATTCCCATCAACAGTTAAGTCGTGTCAGAAATTGACGTGCTGAATATGAAATGTCTCAGTAGGAAGAGCCAAGTTACAGAGAAATCTGTTCACCTTTCTAATCTGTTCAGCAGCACAACAGACATTGAGAAAATGGTGAGCACATATTTAAGGTTCTGTTATGTCCTACTGTCTGCAATACCATTTTGTGTCAGTATTATTTTTGCTTCTGTAGCACTAGTAACGTGCTAATCCTGTGACATTATACTGTCCTGAGCAGACTGGCAGATCATGCATCAATATAAGGCAATCAGCACCTCTTAGAGCACATCTTTTAGATGTTTAAAATATATATGGAAAAGAAAATATTAAGCACTATTATGTCATACTACATAATATTTAAAACAATGCTGGTTTAGTGTAGCAGGACCTTTTTTTTTTTTTATGGTATTTTTGGTACCTTTCCTCATCAACAACCAACACGCTGACACATTAAGCACAAAGCCCTAAAACACAGAAAAACATTTACGATTTAATTCAATAAGAAATAAAAACTTCTCACTCAGTATCTGCTTGTGTGTATATAACAGTCGCATCATAGTACCTACCAATAACTGTGTTATTTTACAAGTGTGGCTTTTGCTAATTGTCCACTCACCTCTCCCACACTTTCTAAATTTGTCACATTTAAGATCTGGTCATAATTACGAGAAATCCACTATGCGGTCACATCTCTGTATAGAGCAGTGTTGTCACAATTTGTGATTACTTGAAAATAGAATAACATTTTTGCTGAGACAATAAAATACAGAAAGCCACTCTGAAAGTCTATTTAAAAGCTCTTTCTGTTTAATCCAGGGCTGCAGCCTGCACAGCGAAGAAACTGAGGTCACTCCATGCTCCGTATATATAATTCATGCATTAAAACCAAAAACTAAACATAACCCAAAGTCAACTCCCTCAGGTGCCTGAAGCTTTTTCCCTGTAACAGATCTCATTTGGCATCCTCTCAATGTCATCCTCAGCTCCCAGCCCCCGGTGGCAGCGCACTGCCTGCCTGGAAAACAGCTTCAGCACCCTCCTCTACCCCCAACAAACGAAGAAATTCGGCGTTTCACGGCAGAACATAACTAAAACCGCGTTTCACGAGCTCCCTCTTCTGTCTTTTAACAAAAATCCTGGTGCGGTTAAAAGGGCGCTTTCGAGGAAGCACAGCCAAATCCTGTAAAGTCCTTGCTCATTCGCTAGTATTTTAAAGAGAGAAAATGCGACCTCTATTAAAAGAAAACTGAAATGATTTTCAAAAGTCTGGACCTATCCTGGGATAATTCAAACCCGACCAGATCAAGACCCTGGTCCCATTATGTCAAGTACTAGTCCAAACGTAAAAATGACTTTTCCAAATAACAGCAGAGTCAAATGAATGAAAAAGCGAACAGAAACAGAGATGCTGGCTCCTTCACAGGAGCTGCTACCAAACTGGCACGTAACTTTGCAACTCCACACCCCTTCTGACTCTTTTTACATCTCCTGGAAACTTAAATGGAGTGCCACAGACCGTGCCTGTCCCTTTCTTGGTTAGCATAATGACTACAACCAGCCTTTCACATTCAAGCAATTGCTGGTGTTTTTCTGCAATCATTTTCCAGGCTAAATCTTTGCTCCTTCATGATATAAACTAGAATAAAGTTCTCAAAAAAAAAAGGGAAAAATAATCCACGAGTGTGATGGGATACTTGCCCTGGAACTAAACCTGTATTTGAAGGCAAGACATCTTTGGCCAGCTGCAATCTAAAATCCCAGTTGGCAGCCTGTCCCTGTTCAAGAGAAGTCAAGTATGAACCCAAACTGCACAAGCCACTGTTAGCTTGGTTCTGGACAAGTCTCTTGGTCTTTCCTGCATCCTAGGGGAGAGATCCACAAAACAGAAGGTTCGCCACTGCTACTTAAAAGCTCATCCTTAAGTTTTACTTATCAGCAGTTTGATTCTCAATTTTGATTATTTTCCTCTTCTGTAACATGTTTTTTCTTCGTCTTTACAAGTCACCTTGTGGGCTGATGTAACTCCATAATATACTTATCCTAACCTAATTTCTTTTGTAACCTTCAAACTTCTTTTCCTGAGGGGAGAAGGAGTTTGTTCTGAGCAAACCAGCATAAGAATTAGGTCTGAAACTTCAAGGTCTAGATATATTCAGGACAGAAAGATTTACAGACCAGTTTTCATAGACATGCTAGCTTTGCATCCATACTCCAAAATAGTCTTAGCACGTACAAGTTCAGACATAAACATCAAACTGAAAATCCAACTAAGAGTTGATATCTCACTGTTTTGAAACGTATTTTTTTCCTATTCTTTCTACTTAATGTTTCCCCCACCACCACCCCCTCAGGTATTTTATTTACTAGACAATTTTAAGCCTACCAACCTCAGTTTTATTAAAGATGTCAAAATTCTGCAGAACAGAAATGTATACTAACAACCTCTAGTGTAAGAAAGGCTCCTAAGGAATAGTATTTTCAGACTGAAACAACAGAAGATCTAGAAAAGCATAATTTCTTAATATTACAAAGTTGCTTATGTGGCTATTACAGCAGTGACACCTGAGACTATGAGCTTTCACACAATATTCCCAAGCCCATGCCAAGAAATTTAACAGTTGCATTCAAATCAGTATCAATCCAATTCTCATTGTAGAACTACATTTCTCTTAACAGTTAACGTACTGCTTAGGTTATCTTGGAGTCCAGGTCTAATCAAACAAAATCCTCAAGATCTCCAAAACACAGTACACAACCAGAGGTAGAATGCACCAGCCTTTACTTGCAATATTTTTCACAATACTGTGGATTAATTGATGTTTCCAAGGCATGTCCTCAGGGAGCTTCAACTTTTCTGACCTTGTGAATTCCAGTTTAAATTTCTTGGATCCACTGCCGAATTTCAGCATTGCTTGTCTTGACTCCTGTCCCCACTCTACAGTCTGGGGGCTTCTATTTGGCAATGGGAGTCCTGAGAGCCAGAAGTTATCAGCATACCAGCTCACCTACACAAAGAACAAACATCTTAACACCCATAACACTTGGGCTGTGATGAAGAAATCAGAGAGCTCACAGTAGGCATTTCTAGTGGTGTCCCCAAAGAAGACCACCAGTATTACACCACACTAACGTCTCATTTATAGAGGGATGTAGCGCACCACAAAGCAGAAATATTCACCTAGCACATTAAGAGTCCATAAAACCGTAACAGCACTCAGATGGCCCCTTCATGTTACATTCGATATATGCAATTACAAGGAAACCAACATGCTGCCAACCTCCACACCTAGTGGAAAAAATATTCAGGTGCCAGCTGTGCAAGAACACACTAAAGCCAGACCCACGGGTTCAATGCTATAAGAGATCCTAGAAAGGAGGGTAAGGACTTCTCCCCCATGCTGGTTGCTTCCCAAATGGTCACAGCTGCCTCACAGTGTGTTGCATTATTTGGAGTCAATTCTTTAAATGACTTATTTTTAAAAACGAAGGGTGTGTTACTGCTATATAGATAAGCATAAAAGAGTATTGGCCCAAGATTAAATGATGTTACCGTATTTTACAGCTGTGAATTTAAATATAACTACGGGCAGGGATAGACTGCCTCCCTGGGAACCTCTAACCACCCCCAACAGGACTAAAGCATTGCACTTGATCAAAGGCTGGTCACATTCACAACACTGATAAGGAACTGCACTTATCAGGGAGTTGTTGTCACTTTTTTTTTTTTTTCTTTTTTATTTCTCACTTTTGTGAAGGTCCTGTAAAAAGGACACCGCTGTAGGATAGGAATGAGTAAGCCCGGTGCTATTTCCCTAGCAAGACAAACAATACCAAGGCTGTCATGCAAGGATGTGCTGCACACCACACACTTTGGGGTAGGACTTTAACTCACAGCCCAGATGCGCACAATTCTTCAGCTTACAGTGAGGCAGGACTCTCCTAAGCAAACCTCAGCAGTTTCCTACAAAGCCCTGCTGACAAGTCTGATCCTGGTATTTATTTCCAGTGTAATCTGAACTGTGGGGGAGGCTGACTGAAAGCCTCTCCTCTTCTGTCCTGGTATTCCTGTGCACTCCCTGCTCCCTTTTCTCTGCCCCTCATCCACAGTGAAGCTACAAGAGGAGATATCTTCTCCCTTTATACTTTGCTTACTTAGGATCCTCTGTTTGGTCTCCAGGCCTGCTTTACCAAGCACATGCTATCCCAAGAACAGCACCAAACAATTTAGCATCAGCATTTTTAACGCTGCATACTGGTCTGTATACTTTTTAATTTACCACAAATGTGCGTTATAATGGTATAATCACACTACACTGCAAACTGGGGCTCCATGCTCGATAGAAAACGTTTGTTTCTGTACTACTGACCCTCATGATTTTGCAGGGACCAGGGTTGATGAGGTAGTAACAGTGGTGTTAGTTTTTCACAAAACAAGAAGTCAACGTTACTCTTTTGAGTAGAAAGAATTAAAAAAAAATAAACTAAAAAACAAGCCAGTATAACTGGAACTCTGAAACATCCCGAACAGGCTATTAACAGCTTGTGATCTAAAATTACTGTGGCTGGCAGTGCTTTTGTCTTTCTGTATCTGCACAAACACCTAAAAGAGCATTAGAGTCTTTCACTGACTGCATCTGGCCACATCCTTCCAGCATCCAGACCCCTGCCCATTGTCAGCCCACCAGCCTACACTCACGTATATCACCCTGTTCACCTTTTTAACTACTGAATTTTCTCTACTCCTCCAGAACTTCTCCAGTATGATAAAATTTAACAGAAATCACTTCTAGTGATTTAAGGGTGTTCTAGTAGTCTAAGGTTTGCAGGAAACATAAACCTAGAATATAACAATTTACATCTGTCACTTTAAAGTATTTTCTCCAAATAATAACAACATCTTCATCCTCCTAATGTATTTAGCGATCAGAGTTTTGATGTAAAAATTGAAGATCTGAAATATATGAAGATGCTCTTTAAACAGGGAAAAAAAAATATTTGGTCAGACTAGCCAGTAACAGCAGCACAGCCAAAAGGCAAGAACAGGTCAAATTATATCATGAACACTGATGTTGTAAACATAATTCTGTTTGTGTAGCTCCCAGATCTATATATATAACTGTTTGAATTCCTACAATTATGTGTAAGAAATGCCCTTAAGAAAGAAAATGATGTAAAATTTATTGGTAGCAAAGTGTCCCTTTAGAAGGTTTGGAGCTAGTCTGCAGTTCTTTTAAGTAAATACAGAAAGTCCCACTTTCACCCAGTAAACATGGAAACATTGTCAAGATCTTCAGAATAAATAAATAAGGAAGATTTAGAGATAAGTGCTACTTACCTTTTCTGAGACCCTGTATTTCCAGAAGAAATGTCTAATTTCAAACGAGCTTTAAAAACAAACTTTAAATTTGAGCAAATCAGCTATGTAAAACGTCAGATTTTCTTTTTTTTTTTTTTTTTTTTTTCTGGGGTGGAAAGACTAGAAAGCTGGCAGTATAAGGCAGGATATTCATTTCAGCAAAGAAAAGTCAATTACTTTTTTTGATAAAAACATTAAAAGTGTATTTAAAATACATGGAAGCGTGAGGGCTCCTTGTGTATTCACTTTCCAAAAGATGTCTGCTCAGCAGCAAGGCCAGGTCCCTGTGGTCAGACAGCACAGCTGTATGCCATAGAGCCAGACAAGCAGACACAGTTGCCTTTAATGAGGGAAGAAACCCCTGAGCTTGGCACCTGGGTCTTGTAAATGCCAAGCTCTTCTTGTGAAAGGTCACTGCTCTCTTACATAACTGCAGGGGAAGATAGTATGTAGCATTTGGGAAGTGGTGGGTTTTGTATTTGGACAGCAGTCAGGTTGATTAACCCAGAGGTGGATGTGTATTTTGCAGGTTGTACCTACAGCAAGCCTTAAAACTATGCTAAGGTTATTCACGATAAACTGGTTTATAAATGTAGGGTCTCTGTAGCACACCAGAAGAAAGAAGAGAGCAGCAGGTGCTGGCATGTGTCAGGACCCACTTGCCACGCACATACTGCAGGCTGCTTTGGTCTCACACAGGGGGCTTTCAGCCTTTTAAACCACGGCCACCCTCAGAAAGGAACATTTCCCCGCTGCCCTTGGTGGCACTGACTCTGCTATCCACTTCTCCTTGCTGGCAATCAGTCATGCGCTACAGCAGGAGCAGCTGAGAGGAGCTTCCCCAGCAAGCAGACACTGACAGCTCTGGCTCTTGGTGTACCACAGCTGACTTGCGGCAAGGGAAGGAAATTCAAAATTCAAAACTGAACTGTGTGTTCAAAAATGCATGGGTGGATTAATTTTGATTATTTTCTACCAATAGCAACACATTGCAAACTATGCAACATTGCCAAGCAGATCTCACTTTTCACACACTGCTACTCTTAAGGTCTCAACTATGCAAGTGATCTGTAGATTTGTAACAAATAAAAGACTTCTTTTTTTTTCCTCTTTTTTTTTTTTTTTCCTAAAATACTTATTTCTGGATTTACATTCTTCAATTAGGAAAGAAAATAAAGAATGAAGGACAGAAAGCACTCATCCAAGACGAGGTTCAAAGGAGAATTATGGAAACAACGTACCGAAAGGAAATTATATTGTACTTTTCTTCCACTGCAGGATTAGATGACAGTAGTCAGTTTTTAAGGCATGGCTTTCCTTCATTTCTCTGCTGTCAATAGTGTTCAAAATATAATCAGCCCTGGACATAGGAGCTATGCTGTCTTTAAACACACATCTCACCACATCTTACACATCTTGGCAAGTTAGTTTATGTAAATCACCATGGCCTTGGTTTATTATTTTATTTTTATTTTTTACTCTGATTTCCCTAGCCAATATAATACTCCCTTTAGTGCTCCCTTTTAAATAAGAGGGAATGAAATCTCTCAAATAACACTCTGTTCCTCTGCAGAACCCAATGCTGAGTTTGTTTTCCTTCTCCATGGACATTGTTGCCATCTAGTGTGATGATGTTATGACTACACTATTTTAGGTACAGAAAAAAGCTGTAGGAAGCTGGTTATTACTTACACTATGAGCCAGTGATAATGTTGACAGAACAGAATGAGAATGCAGTAGCAAAACACGGGAAAATTACAAAATTACAGTAAAGCTAAACTGAAACGTATAGCAGGAGTTATCAGAGAACTGTTTCGCAAGCCAGGCAGTCACAATGACAGATTTGGCAATCATACATGTGTAGAAGACAGCTTTTAACGATGTGACTGAGTACTGTACTGTACTTCTCACCTGCAATGTTCAGCTTCTAACTCAAAATGTGAAGTTCACTCCTTTAAGACTTCCTTCCCTTTTTTCCCCCTTCATTTTTTTGCTAACTGGCTAAATATATATATATATATATACACGTAACGTATGTATATATATATACACGTAACAACAACAACAACAACAACAAACTCCTAAAAAAAAGAAAATCAAACATTTGTAAAGATACAAACGGGAAGGGGAAAACCAGCTAGAACTCCAGATGTGTTCATCCCCTTCCTCAGCTTTTGGCCAGGTTTCAGTGTTCGAGACAAAAGTAGCTTGATACCCTGTGCATTGGCACATAATTAGCAGAAGAAACCGGTGCCATAATGACTCTGTTACCATGCATGCGAGCAGCTGTGGCTGATCAGATAACATCAGTTCTGAACCTGAATCTTTGGCTTTGCTGCCTTCTGCTTCTTCTAACATATAATCATTGCAGAGGACAAGCCAGATTGCAGTAGGCAATGAAAAGCTTTTAAGTGGCAGCATATCTGGGGTTTTATACTTAAACGAAACTTTACTTTGCTGCATAAACTTTGCTGTGTCTCTTAAACAAAGCTAAATTGGTTAGCTATAGGAAGAATTGTCAGGGATGTATATATTGAGCCAATTTGGAGATATAAATATAATTAGGGGGAAGATATTATTTGCTTGTAATAGTTAATTGAACTTTTATTCACATCTTGGCCTTTTCATTTGCTGAAAGTTTATGCACTGGCATACAAGCCTGGTGAATTACAGCACTGTATAGGTGAATGTCGGCTGTGTAGCTGTGACCTGCCTTTATCAGGAGCTGTACCTCCCCATCACCTTCTACCAAAGAGTGTTCCTCTGCTGACACCAAGGAATTTATTTGCACAACTGCAGCATACCCCAAAACCTTGCTACTTGGACAGAGTTTGGGTGCAGGATGGAGGGCGCCGGGCCCAGTGGCTGCTGCTGCTGTCTGCTCATAACAATGCCTCAGTCTTAAATTGGAGTGACCACAGTGATTCTTTCTTTGCTGGGCTCCCAAAACTCTCATGCATCAGCTGAAGCCTAGGGGACAACTTCTGATGCTGGTGGGTTTGGTAGCTGCCAGAAAAACACACTTTTTGAGCTGTCCTATATTGAGCAGCTTCCCTTGAGATGTATTTTTTATTCAAATAGCACAAGCAAAGGGAACATACTTCAGAAATCAGGTCATGTTACAAAGTGACATGAAGGAAGGTGGTAGCCTAGGGGGATGATGTGGAGAAACAGGCAGCTGCTGGGAGTTTTACCAGCCCAGCTCATCCAGCATACAGGGCAGATTGCTTTTCTGACAGCCTGCAAAGTCTGGATGTGCTGTGTTGAAGGCAGCCAAGGGACCATAGTGTGGATAGATCTAAATGTTTTCTACCATAACTGAAGTGTTGTGACAGTTTTGATGTGCAAACTCGAAAAATGGAAGTCATAGGCATAGCATTAGAAACAACGTGCAACATACCCCTTTTATTTTAGCATGTAACTTAGCATATATATTTATTCCATTACTGTGTTCAGTCTTATTACTCCCGGCAAATGAGAAATAAGTCATTTGGAAATGTTATAGAAATTGGGATTTTTTAGAAGCAGCCAAAACAGCTCAAAGTACCATGTACATGCACGCCAATTTTTGCAAAGCTATGTATTGGATGAGTTTTACACTCAGGTCTCCCAGTAGAGTAGGATGGAGACTCAAGAGTTAAGTGCAAGCAACTAAAATACATCTGAGCGTACAGCTGCAGATTTTGTAAAGCTTATGTGGATGCCTCTGTCAGTCCCAAGTGGATTGCTTTGACTCATTATGCCCATACTTGTTTGCATCATTTCTTATATGCTGACTTTGCAAAAGAAAAAAAAGCAGCTTTATTTATTTGTACAGCATTCTTAATGTTTTAAAAAGTGACCCTTTAGCTTCCTACTAAAAATGAGAAAATTGTTAAACTTGAGGGAGGGAAGAGGAAGGGAGAGGAGCAGCCCCACAGCAATGCAAAAACGAGTAGGATGCTGCTTGTTTTTAATAAACCCACTCAATTTGACCATCTGACCACTCCTTTTATGGACAAAAATGAGTTTTTTCCCAGGACTGCTTTTGTAACTGTGCAAAAATAGTCTTCGTTTTTTTTTTTGTGAGTCACTTAGAAATACCTATACCCGAATGCAAATCTCTACTGAAAAATCCTCCCCTCAAATATTGCAACGATTGCCACATTTTCAGTTTTTCTCTGACAACGATTACATTGACGTTCACATAATTATTAATATATATTATTTATTTATTTATTTATTTATTTATTTATTTATTTATTTTATTTTATTTTTTAAATACAAATACAACAACGGAAGCCCCAGAGGTTGCCTAGGCTGGTTATTGCATGGATTTAGTGCTCGCCTCTGTAAGACACTGAAGCTCCTGCCTGCTTCACTGCTGTCCTGCGGCGACATCTCCTGGGCCCTGTTCAGACTGCACCAAGACGCATCCTGCGACCCTGGTGGAGAGCAGCCTGGAAACCCTCCAAACCCTGGGCATGAAGGTACTTCTTAGCTGGACCAAAAAGTCACTCTTCTGTTTTCCCTCAAGGTTTATTCTCCTGAGAGATTTCTTGGCTGGCCAAAACTCCTGCCTAGCAAACAAGCACACCAACCCTCCCCCTGTTCCCAAGGCCTGGCTCTTTTTACAGAGTTTATTTTGCACCACTTCAACAAAGGAGGGTTCAGGAGCAGGGTCTGGCGTGTAAGCCATGTCTTGGCTTCCTGATGTGACACATCTTGAACACTGCTGCTTCATCCAAAGGCTACTTCAATTTCCAAACCTAGCTATATCCCCAAAGCCTTTTTTTTTTTTTTATAAATTTTTTTCTTTTTCTTTTTCGTTGAAATGGCAGAACAGTAATACCCCGAACAAGCACTTTTATTGTGTAGCTATAGAGAGGACTCTAAGACAGTTGCCCCAGGCTTTGGCCTGCACAACTCCTGTAGGTATGGAGGTGTTCTGCTCCCAGCCCCTTCGCAGCACACCTGCGGGGATGTCTAGCCAAGAGTTCCTTGTCCCTGTCTCACCTGGCATGTTGTTTTGATACAATGGTTTGCTGGTCCTCAGGTGGACATGCGTTACAGCTGATGTAATGACTGCTTGTCAAAAAAAGGTGGACTGGTTTGGCACAGGACACGTCAACACCCTATCTGGCAGGGCCTCGAGACACCAATTCTGGCAGATGAGCTCAAGGCATCCACTGGGCCACCCCCAAATCCCTCTGAATGCCCAAGTAACTGCAGAAAAAAATCACTCCTCTTTTGCCAGGGGCCTCACAGCAGCAGGAGTCTGGGACCTTCCACGTGTTACACATGGCCTGGGACACCTCACCAGGAAACATGGAGACGGCTTACTGAGGTTAGCCGCCTTCAGAGTCAGGTGGCTGCAAATTAGGAGGCTTTGCAATATAATTTTGGAGTTAGGCTGCACAC